TTTTGCCATGTTCTGTCCCCTATTTTATACAGCGTCCTATCTCTGCATACCCTCTACCCTCTTTTCCATCCACTTCAATTGAAACCGTTATCAGCTTTCTAAAAAAAGACCTGTGAGATAACACGCCCGTCGTCCCATACTCTGATTGAATAAGTAAACGACCGGTTCTCTGAGGGCTTTTGCAGGATTATATTCGACAAACGGCATACACAACAACTACAAACACTATACTCGGAAAACTTCATTTTCGCTTTAAGTAGTACTTTTCCGGTGGATGGATTGTCTGGCAGACCGAAGAAGGCTTTAGTAGTTCAGTAGTCTCCGTCACACTTGATGAACTCACTTCGATAGTGAAGTGTACCAGATTCTAGGTAAGGTTGAACGAAGGTGCCGCGGATTTTACCAAGGAGATCTTTGCCAAAACCTACAAACACCCATTTCGCAGCGTACAGTCGCCCTTTTGATCGTTCTTTCATCTTGAGGTTGCTCACCGAAACAGATTTCCCTCCTTGCTGATCTTGTTAGGCTCTCCATTCCCAAAACACTTTCTGCCAAATATCAATCAGAATGTTACATGATTAGTCAAACTAGTCGAGCTTGGACCGATTGATTTTCTCCTCTTTCGCTGTTTGGGCTTTCGTACGGATGTTTATGTGGCTTCGAGCATAGAGAGGCACAAAAGCTCTCTGAAACGTCAGTCAGAACTCAATTCTGCTCCCGTAAGCAAATTAAATTTAACAGATGTTCATCCCGGAACTCTCACGTTTGCAAAGTTAAACTAGGTTAACTATTTAAATGCGGAAACCGTAGTCTTGCTCGTAGTCGACTAGGGTCCCTAGTAAACCCATAATATGATCCAAACCAGTGACAAACTTGCATGGTTTGTCTTGTTCTGTCAAAGTTTTACTCCACACCTATTCGCTTTATTCCTTCGCAGTTCCTAGCACTCTTGGTTGGTAGCAGCACAATCGGCAAAATCTGAACCCTCAAAATTCTGATCTTAGAAAATGTGTACATATGCAAGCTACGTTTTCCGGTTTCCTCTTTGTCAGTTCTGTCAGTTAAAAATGTCCGCCAATCCCAGTCTTCAGTGGCCAACGTCGGAATGGGCTCGTGGAGGTGGCTATTTTAGTGGACAGGAGCCTGAGCAGCACTGTCAGTTACTCTATGAAAACTTTTCGCGCTTTCAATCTCAACAGTTTCTTACCCAAGTATTAATTCCAGTTCAGCTCTGGTGGACCATGTTTGGATTTGTCACTCGTCGGTCAAGAGGTTTTTATGCTCAGTCTTAGCCTACTTGTTGTTAAACTCTTCTGTAATGAGTTCTCCATAGAAGACTGACTAGCATTTGTCGTTATTAGTGGGTTACTAATCTAAGTTATACTAACGGTGCGCTTATAATTCTAACTGATTGTGTCATCCCCTCTCAGCTTGAATGCTATCGTGCCTATCGCTCCTACCTTTCTGACCTCATCTCGTTTTGGATTCTTTTCAGACCAGCTGTTTCCGTTTTAATCGCAACAGCTGGCCCGATGCCCGCCAGATTCTCTATCAGATAACAGACATTGACGTGCCCGAAGTGATAGAAATGCTCGCTGCTCCGGTTCCTCGAAGCAAATGCGATCCTGTAGAGGGTTGGATGCCGGATAAGCATCAAAGGACTATACGTGAAAGCATAACCAGGTGTTTAGAGGCCTGGGTCGCCCAGGAGGAGGAGTCCGCTGCCATGCAGAAAGCATCCACAACCCAGGAAAACAAGACGGAAGAGCCTGAGGATAATGATTTAGATGGAAACGGCAGTGTAGACGCTACACCCGTGAGTCCAAGGCTTACTTTTTAAATTGAAATTGTCTGTTTTTAAATTCAGTTCCCTGTCCCGTATTCAAATAAAACCTATAGTTTCGATATTCTGCGGCCTTAAAAATGAGGCCAACATCATTCTCTCTGAAAGTCCCTTCAAAGAACTGCCGTACCCTTCCTGGGGAAAAAATTGGCCTTGAAATTGGTTCCTGGAAAGCTGCAGTGCTGCTCTACGCCATGAACGGTATTTCCCGTAGGAATAGCAGGGGGTTTTTAGTTGTCCATTGTTTGCCGTCTCGATCTGAACCGAAGATCCTCCGTGACGGCTTCGTTCCACACCTCTATCCGATTTGTTGAGGCCCTTCTGGCCAGCCGCTAAAGTGCGTAGATGCGGTTAGGTTAGGCGTGATGAAGATAGAGGACCTACGGTCTTCAGTGTTCGTAAATGATTCATCAAACAGACAATTTCTAAGAGCCTAACCTGTTTTCATTTGATGTGGCTGGATGAATTAGAGGTGCTGTTGATTCTAATATCGCTTTTTAGTGCTCATGACAACCAGCACGAATGCCATGCATTATGCTGGTAGTTGCTCTACCGCTCTAAACGTCGAACACTGCCTTTCAAAGTTGCACACGGCTGTCTACAATGACTGTGTGCTTTAGTGTTTGACTTGCACCAGATCTATCGACTTGTTAGGGCCTCTATTGCGTGGACTGTGTGTATGCGCTTGTAGAACACCTATTCATCTAAAAAAATGCATAGCCCTAGGTCTTCCGTTCTCCCCCTCAGCGCATTCATGGGGCTTGCTGGAAGTTATTTTTTCCGCCATTTTTATCGGTCTTACAGCTGAATTAGTCGATCATGGGTTTCCGTATGCATCGTCCCGAAAATGCAATTCTGCATTTTTAGTGCTCGCAAATTGCTAACTTCGAGTCGAGGAATGTGCTCCAAGAATCGTCATTTTTACAGTATTCCGTTAATCAAGTAAGCATAACCAAGCTTAGGAACAAAGTGGCCGCATTTTAACTCTGGAGAGGGAGGTGATGGATTAGGCACTGACTAGCTTTCAATATCTCTATGTTCGTCTGCTAATTTTTTGCCGCAGTTAGCTGGTATTGCTTAAAGATATGTTTCAGTGTCATCATTTCCGTGACTTGCTTTTTCATTGCCAACTCGCTAAGGCTTTAGAATGAACCATACCTAACAGCAACCTACGTTCAACGATAATAAACGCTGATTTCCGAATAAATGAAAAGGTTCGCGTTCCAGGTATCTGCATGGATAAGGAAGAAGACTTGTCGAGCACCGGATAAATAGATTTATTGTCCTGAGCTTTCGAACTCTTGCAGGAGTCCATCTTCAGAGGTGAGAAGTAGCAACACCTCACCTCTGAAAATGGAGATGGA